CCGCGGTTCGGGGGTTGGAACTGGGGTTGACTTTGTGGGCGTCCACCACCAGCCATTACACTAACTGCTGGTCTCTCATTTTTGAAAAGTATTTTTAGTAGATATAGAATCTGAGCTTGACAGCTTTTTTTTTTTTTATAAAAGAATTATTTTATTTAACTTTATTTATTTATTCATTTTCTTATTTTAATTTGACCAGAGAAGGACAGAGAGAGAGAAAGTAAGAAAGCAAGCCACCAGGTTCAGGACTCAAACTGCCATCAGCCACATGAGAATCCAGTGCCTTTAACCATGACGCCACATGCCGGACCCAGACAGCTTTTTTTTTGTTTAGGAGAGATTTTTGCTTTTTTGTGTGTGTGAGAGATTTTTGCTATAAGGTGCATCTGCTTGCTGGAGAGACAGAGAGACAGAAAGTGAGAAATCACCCCCTGGTAGGATGGCCATGCCACAATCTTTCTCCTCCATTCTCCTCTCAGGATTTTGGGCAGGAATACACATGTGCTGGATGTGATTTTTAAGCTGTCAGGTCCAGAACTTGACCCATGGTCAACTACGTGGGAGTCCAGTGACGTAACCACTATGCCATCTGCTGGTCCTGAGCTTGACAGCTTTTTAAAATACTCTGAAGATGTTACTCTACTGTTTTCTCACTTGTATCATTTCCAAGTAGAAATCTGCTATGATTGTTATCTTTGTGTCTCAGTATGAAACATGTCTTTTTACTTTGGCTTCTTTTAAGATTTTCACCGGGAACCAGCTGTTAGTGTAATGGCTATGTCGCTGGACTCCCACGTGGTCGACCATGGTTCGCGGACCCAGTGGCTTAAAACTCACGCCGGGCGCGTGTGTATGCGTGCCCAAGATCTCGAAAGGAGAATGGAGGAAAAGGGATTGCGGTGTGACCATCCCCCCGGGGGGTGATTTCTCGCTTTCTGTCTGTATGGTCTCTTGTTGGCGAGCACACGCGCCCTATAGAAAAAACCTCTCCAAAAAAAAAAAATTAAGATTTTCACTAGTTTTTTGCTTGTTTAATGTTCTATAGGGTGTGTGTTTGTTGGAGAGATAAAGAGGGAGAAAGAAAGAGAGTGAGAAACCACCCCCTGGAGGGATGGCCATGCTGCAATCCCTTCTACATTCTCCTCTTGGGCTTTTGGGCATATATACACAAATGCCTGGCATGTTTCTCAACTGCTGGGTCTGAGACTAGAACCGCATAATTGGCCATGTGGGATTTAGCCACCTTAACCACCAGGCCACCAGCCGGTCCATTTTTGAGCAATTTGGTTTTGTTATTTGCTGTAGTTTTCTTCATGTGTCTTTCTTTCTCTCTTTTTCCTTTTTCTTTCTTTTTAAAAGTTTTAAAACATCTATTCCTTCTCTGATGCACACACACACACACACACACACACACACACACACGTCTTGTTGGAGTGATCCACCCCTAGTGTCAGCCAGCTGAGATGATCAAGGGCATGTGTGTACACCTGCGCCCTCCCACATGGGCCAGTCTTACAGAATGTTAGATTATCACCATGCCACCCATCAGCCCACTTCTTGATGTTTCTCATGCTTGGGTTTGTTGAACTTCTTCAATCTGCGTGTTTGTAATTTTCATCAAACTTTGGAAAAAGATCAACTGTTATTTCTTCAAATATTTTCTGTGCCTGACTTCTCACTGGGGGCTCCAATCAGGTATTTATTAGAATGTTTGAAATGGTCCCATGGCTTATTGATAAATGATATAGATTGGGTTGTCAGAAAAATCATAATGCATCTTTGCATAGAAAAAGACAGAAAAAATGTCATTACTTTTCCAATAGCCCAATATTTAAAAACATTTTCTGTGTATTCCATTTTGGATCTTTTTGTTTTTTTTTTTTGGAGAGGTTTTTGCCCTATATAGGGCGCAGGCGCTTGCCAGAAAGACAGAGAGAGACAGACAGAAAGCGAGAAATTACCCCCCAGGGGGGATGGCCATGCCGCCATCTCTTCTCCTCCATTTTTCTCTCAGGATCTTGGGCACGCATGCACACGCGCCTGGTATGAATTTAAGCCACCAGGTCCGGGACTTGAACCGTGGCTGACTACGTGGGAGTTCAGCGACATAGCCATTACTGCTAACTACAGCTAACTGCTGGTCCCATTTTGGATCATTTCTGTAGCTATGACTACAAGTTCATTCATCTTTTCTTTTGCAATGTCTAATGTGCCATTGAACTTACCCCATTTATATTTTTTCCATTTTAGACACTGTAGCTCCTTTTCAGAAGACTGTTTTACATCTTACTTATTTCCGCCTTTATGTTTTAGAGAGCTTTTTGCTATAGGGTGCACACGCTCACTGGAGAGACAGAGAGACCGTGAGAAATCACTTTGGGGGATGGGAATTGGCCACACCACAGTACCCTCTTTTCCATTCTTCCTTGGGATTTTGGGCATGCACACACATGTGCCCGGTATAAGTTTCAAGCCTCTAGGTCTGGGACTCGAACTGTGGTTGGCCATGTGGGAGTCCAGTAATGTAACTGTTACACCATCTGTTGATCCCCCTCTGCCTAACTTTGAATATATAGACCATGGTTGTAATAACTGAGTACTGTTATTTGCTAAATATAACACTCGAGTCAGTTTCATGTTGGTTTTGATTTTTCTTCCTGTTATATGTTCTATTTTCTTGCTTCTTTGCATGCCTGATTAATTCCATGTTAGGCATTTTACATTGTTGGATGGTGGATATTTTTGTATTGCTATAAATATGTGTTAGATTTGTTCTGGAGTTCAGTTACCTTAGTTGGAAGCAGTTTGATCCTTTTTGGTGAGATGTGCTAGATGAAACCGCTTCAAGCCCTGGTGGGTGCTCATTATTCCTTCCGCAGGTGCAGGGCCCTCTGTGTTCTCTAACCAACACCCCTTGATTACATTTTCCAGTTTGGAAGTTACTTAGCCTCCCTGCTGCTGAGTGAACAACAGGTAGTCTTCCTGTCTGCTTTTGTTTTTGCCCTTGGCTCAGTTAATTTCCTCACGCGCTCCCTTCTGGAGTTTTCTGTGTGTGCAGGTTTCTGCTCTCTGGTACCCTGCCCTGCAATCTCTAGCTGCCTCGGTCTAGCTGGATTCTGCATGCCATCTCATGGAATTAAAGTTGGCTGGGGTCTGCCTGGGCTCCGCTTCGTGCATCACAGCCTGTGATTGCTCTCAAGGCAGTACCATGGCAATCAGACGACCCACCTAATTTGTTATATTTCCTGCTTCTCAGGGCCGACTGGTATCCATAACCTTTCTGTCTGATGTCCAGAATCTTGAAGACCACTGTTTCATATGTTTTGTTCGGTGTTTTTGGTTTTCAAGTGGTGTGTGTGTTGGGTAAATCCTACTCCCGATACTTCATCGTACATTTGTGGGACCTGCAGATGGTGTAATTGTTACGTCGCTGGACTCCCACATAGTTGACCATGGTTTGAGTCATGGACTCAGCAGCTTAAAACTCACGCCGGGTGCATGTGCGTGTGTGCCCAAAATCCTGAGAGGAGAATGGAGGAAAGGGATTACAGTGTGGCCATCTCCCCTGAGGTGGGAGGTAATCTCTCGCTTTCTGTCTCCCTGTCTCTCCAGTGAGTGCATGTGTGCGATAGCAAAAAAAAAGAAAAAAAAAAAAAAGAAATATACTTTTTTTTTTTTTTTGCTAGAGAGCATGTAAGCTGGTCAGAGAAAGAGGGAGAGGAGAAAGAACCCCCATAAGGATGGTCAAGCCACAATCCCTTCTCCTCCACCTCTGTTCTTTTGGGATTTGGGGATGCATGCACATGAGCTTGGCATATTTTTCAAGTGGCTGGGCTAGACTAGAATCACACAGTTGGCCACGTGGGATCTGACTGCCTTACCCATAAGTCACAGAGCCGGCCCTGTATCTGTATTTTAAAAGTAAATTTCTTGGAGGTGGGAGGATGTAGACCAGGGATTGGAAAAAGAAAACATTTAACAGATACAAAAATGGAAAGTTAACTATTATTGATAATGTACACGGTAATATTTACAACTTGACTAACCTGCATTGTTTTCATCCTGGGATAGACTACTTTGTACACTCTAAAGATGTACAGTGACTAAATGTAAATAAAAAAAGTCATGATAGAAAAATTGATTCTTCAGTGGCAAAGGAGCAATTTGTTTAGATCTTCACTATTATATTCCCAAATAATTCCAAATGAATTAAATATTTTTAAAAACCTATAAAATAGTAAGAATTAGAATAAAATGAAGATATATATACACACATATATATATGTATATATATATACACATATATATATATTTTTTTTTTTGAGAGGTTTTTGCTATAGGGCGTGTGTGCTCGCCAGAAAGAGAGAGACAGAGAGACAGAAAGTGAGAAATCACCCCCCCAGGGGGGATGGTCACGCCACAATCCCTTCTCCTCTATTCTCCTCTCGGGATCCTGGGCACGCACGCACATGCGCCAGGCGTGAGGTTAAGCCCCCAGGTCTGGGACTTGAACCGTGGTTGACTACATGGGAGTCCAGCAATATAGCCATTATGCCAACTGCTGGTTCTGATAAATATACATTTTTTAAAAGGTACGTTTGTCATATGATTACAAACCCCCCCAGCCCTAATCTACAGGTTAGCGTTTGAGAATCGTTACTGTAACCCTAGGTCTACTCGCTGATCTCGGTCATCCATATATTTTTGTTTCTATGTCTGTTTTTCTAGCTTCTTAAGTTCTAAATACCTTCTTCCCCTTTGTTTTCCTTATCTAAATATTGAAGACTGTTCAAAGTTTAATTGAAATGCTAGTTCCTCCTGTTCAGACTAGTAGGGTTTCCACCTTTCTTCTAAGAGTCATTCCTTCTTAAATGCTTCCATAGCAAACTTATTATATTTTAATCATGGTAGTTATAGAATGCATTTATTTAATTCTTTGTTTGTTTGTTATGAGTACATGTGCTTGTCAGAGAGAGCAAGAAATCACCCCCCAGGGGAATGGCCATGCTGCAGTCCCTTCTCCATTTTCCTATTGGGATTTCGGGCATGCATGCACATATGCTCAGCATGTTTTTCAAAATGCCAGATCTGGGACTCGAACTGCACAGTTGGTCATGTGGGATCCAGTCGCCTTAACCACCATGCCACCTGGATGACTCTAGAATGCATTTTATAATAGCTGTTGATTTATCTATTTGTAAGATTCCTAAAGGCAGATCTCTGTCTTGTACAAAGCAGGTATTAAACAGTATTGCAGCCTAAGGACCGCAGTCCAGGAAGGGATTAGACAGGAGCGAGACAAGTACTAGAACCAAGCAGTACAGAGACCACATCTGAATCTGCATTAGGTGGTCTGGGAAGTCTACCATTGGGTTAACAAATAGGGTTAATCTTGCTTAGGTAAGCTGAGGACATATCCTGACTCTCTGAGAACAGCCATTAGATATAAAATGTTGGAATGTCTTGGACATTTTGGTAGTACTGACTAAATGTGTGGGCTTTTTGCAATAATAGTTAACGAGTGTCGAATACATATCAGGTGGCATTCTAAGCATGATACCTATGCCTGTACTGTATTTACTTCTCCTGACACCCCCTGAGGTAAGTCCTATTAATATCTCCATTTTGTAGGTAGGGAAACTGAGGCACAGAGAAGTAACTCTTCGTGTTACACAGCTGGTAATTCTGGCTCTAGTCTATGCTCTCGGCAACTGTTATGCTTCTTTTCTAACGAACATTTAATGTTTTGGGAACATCGAAGCAGCTGGCCCCTGTAGTTGTACTTTACAGTGTGACGGGACGGGTGTGTGTGTTGTTAATATGGTAATGGTATGGACTTCCCAGACAGTTACCTCGGAGCAGGAAGAGTCACTTCCTGTGATCCTTGGTCACGTCTGCTCCTTTGTGTTTTATTTCTTTAGGATCCCTGGCCAGCTCCATCTTTGACCCACTCAAATCTCTCGTGGGTGCTTCAGGAGGTGTCTATGCTCTGATGGGAGGCTACTTTATGAACGTTATAGTGGTAAGACTTTGAGAATGGAGTCTGTGGACTTTCTCTCTTTTTAAAAAATTTAAATATTAATTTAATTGGAGAGGTTTTTACTATAGGGTGCATGCGCTCGCCAGAAAGACAGAGTCAGAGAGACAGAAAGCGAGAAATCACCCCCCCGGGGGGAGGTGGCCATGCCGCAATCCCTTCTCCTCCATTCTCCTCTCGGGATCTTGGGCATGCACGCACACGCACCCAGCGTGAGTTTAAGCCACCGGGTCCGGGTCTAGATCCGTGGTTGACTACATGGGAGTCCAGCGACATAGCCATTACGCTAACTGCTGGTCCCATGGACTTTCTCTTTTTTATCCATTACTGATATTTGGTTAGCAGAATCTTCATTTATCTTTTTTTTTTGAGAGGTTTTTGCTATAGGGCGTGTGTGCTCGCCAGAAAGAGAGAGACAGAGAGACAGAAAGTGAGAAATCACCCCCCCAGGGGGGATGGTCACGCCACAATCCCTTCTCCTCTATTCTCCTCTCGGGATCCTGGGCACGCACGCACATGCGCCAGGCGTGAGGTTAAGCCACCAGGTCTGGGACTTGAACCGTGGTTGACTACATGGGAGTCCAGCAATATAGCCATTATGCCAACTGCTGGTTCTGATAAATATACATTTTTTAAAAGGTACGTTTGTCATATGATTACAAACCCCCCCAGCCCTAATCTACAGGTTAGCGTTTGAGAATCGTTACTGTAACCCTAGGTCTACTCGCTGATCTCGGTCATCCATATATTTTTGTTTCTATGTCTGTTTTTCTAGCTTCTTAAGTTCTAAATACCTTCTTCCCCTTTGTTTTCCTTATCTAAATATTGAAGACTGTTCAAAGTTTAATTGAAATGCTAGTTCCTCCTGTTCAGACTAGTAGGGTTTCCACCTTTCTTCTAAGAGTCATTCCTTCTTAAATGCTTCCATAGCAAACTTATTATATTTTAATCATGGTAGTTATAGAATGCATTTATTTAATTCTTTGTTTGTTTGTTATGAGTACATGTGCTTGTCAGAGAGAGCAAGAAATCACCCCCCAGGGGAATGGCCATGCTGCAGTCCCTTCTCCATTTTCCTATTGGGATTTCGGGCATGCATGCACATATGCTCAGCATGTTTTTCAAAATGCCAGATCTGGGACTCGAACTGCACAGTTGGTCATGTGGGATCCAGTCGCCTTAACCACCATGCCACCTGGATGACTCTAGAATGCATTTTATAATAGCTGTTGATTTATCTATTTGTAAGATTCCTAAAGGCAGATCTCTGTCTTGTACAAAGCAGGTATTAAACAGTATTGCAGCCTAAGGACCGCAGTCCAGGAAGGGATTAGACAGGAGCGAGACAAGTACTAGAACCAAGCAGTACAGAGACCACATCTGAATCTGCATTAGGTGGTCTGGGAAGTCTACCATTGGGTTAACAAATAGGGTTAATCTTGCTTAGGTAAGCTGAGGACATATCCTGACTCTCTGAGAACAGCCATTAGATATAAAATGTTGGAATGTCTTGGACATTTTGGTAGTACTGACTAAATGTGTGGGCTTTTTGCAATAATAGTTAACGAGTGTCGAATACATATCAGGTGGCATTCTAAGCATGATACCTATGCCTGTACTGTATTTACTTCTCCTGACACCCCCTGAGGTAAGTCCTATTAATATCTCCATTTTGTAGGTAGGGAAACTGAGGCACAGAGAAGTAACTCTTCGTGTTACACAGCTGGTAATTCTGGCTCTAGTCTATGCTCTCGGCAACTGTTATGCTTCTTTTCTAACGAACATTTAATGTTTTGGGAACATCGAAGCAGCTGGCCCCTGTAGTTGTACTTTACAGTGTGACGGGACGGGTGTGTGTGTTGTTAATATGGTAATGGTATGGACTTCCCAGACAGTTACCTCGGAGCAGGAAGAGTCACTTCCTGTGATCCTTGGTCACGTCTGCTCCTTTGTGTTTTATTTCTTTAGGATCCCTGGCCAGCTCCATCTTTGACCCACTCAAATCTCTCGTGGGTGCTTCAGGAGGTGTCTATGCTCTGATGGGAGGCTACTTTATGAACGTTATAGTGGTAAGACTTTGAGAATGGAGTCTGTGGACTTTCTCTCTTTTTAAAAAATTTAAATATTAATTTAATTGGAGAGGTTTTTACTATAGGGTGCATGCGCTCGCCAGAAAGACAGAGTCAGAGAGACAGAAAGCGAGAAATCACCCCCCCGGGGGGAGGTGGCCATGCCGCAATCCCTTCTCCTCCATTCTCCTCTCGGGATCTTGGGCATGCACGCACACGCACCCAGCGTGAGTTTAAGCCACCGGGTCCGGGTCTAGATCCGTGGTTGACTACATGGGAGTCCAGCGACATAGCCATTACGCTAACTGCTGGTCCCATGGACTTTCTCTTTTTTATCCATTACTGATATTTGGTTAGCAGAATCTTCATTTATCAGCATTTACTGAGTACTGCTCTTTCTGAGAATAATACAGCCTGCAGTGTGTTCCTTTCATATTTTATCTTTTTTTCCCCTTGATCTCAAAAGTAATGAGTACTGAATAAAATTTTATATAAAACATATAGTAGGAAGTCAAAGTTCCTGGGCTGATTCCATGGTCTGGTGGTTAAGGTAGCTGGATCTCACATGGCTGACCATGTGGTTTGAGTTCCGGATCTGGCGGCCCAAGAAACATGCTGGGTATATGTGCATGCATGCTCAAAATCCTGAGAGGTGGGAGAGATGGAGAAGGGATTGTGGAGTGACCGTGGCCTATGGGGGGTGCTTTCTACTCTCTCTTTCTCTATCTCTGTCTCTGATAAGTGCATGTGCCTTCTAGCAAAACAAAAACAAAGTCAGGGTTCCCAATATATTAGGTTGTCGAAAAGTCATGACATATTTTTCTATGCAAAAATGTGTCATGCCTTTCCTGACAACCCATAGTATGTTTAACAATTCGATGTATATATCCTTTCAGAGATTCTTCTATGTATTCAAAATCCTACCCATATTAATACTACACGGGGCATCACCCTGCTGTTATACTTTGACAGAGTATCCTGACCATCGACCCGTGCTAGTACTCAAGGACTTTGGTCTTCGTGGGTGCCTCTTAGTACCCTCTGTACAGGTGCATCACAGTTTACTTAACAGGTCTCTCACTGAAAACAATTTGGGGGTGATTATAGCTTTTTACATTTATAAGTAATGTGGTAAGGAATGTCGTTTACATGTGTCTTTTAGCATTTGTGTGATTTTCTTCTTGTAGGATAAATTCCTAGAAGTGGATTTACTGGATGAGTGCTTTAAATTTTAATATGCATAGATACCTAAGCTGGAAGAGAAGGGATTGTGGTGTGGCCTCTTCCCCAGGGGGGTGATTCTCACTTTTTCTCTATTTTTGTCTCTCTCTGGTGAGCCCACATTCTCAAGTGTCACATGGGGATACTGTAGGGTAATCTGAGATTTTCCAATGCTAAAATCAAACAATTTCTAAAAACAATTGTTTAATTTTATTTATTATTATTTTTAAAATCTGCTATAGAACATACATGCTCACCAGAAAGAGAGAGAGACAGAGAGAGAGCAGTGGCATGGGGTGCTGGACTCCCACATGACTGACTGCGGTTCGAGTACCAGACCTGGCAGCTTACTTTCTCACTTACCCTTTGTCTCTCTCTTGTCAAATTAAAAAATAATAACAAATGGAATTAAATCAATGAATAATTATTAAAAAAAAGAAAGAAAAAAGAAAATGCAAGAGCAACCCGTCAGGTCCAGGAGTCGAACCAAGGTTGACCATGTGGGAGTTCAGTGCCTTAACCACCACTTCACCTGCTGATCCCAAATAGTGTTTTTTAAAACCATTTTCATTTTTTAAAAAATTATTTATTTAATTTTAATTATTAGTATTTTAAAACTTGACCAGAGAGAGACACAGAGAGAGAAGAGGAAAGTGAGGAAGTCAGCTGTCAGGTCTAGGACTCAAACTGTGCTGAGGCATGTGGGAATCTAGCGCCTTGACCACCCTGTAACCTGCCGGTCCCCCGTTTTTTGTTATTAATTGCTTCAAAAACTTAAGGTAATATGGTAATACTCAGATTTCAGTCAAGTTTTGCTAACTGCTACTAAAGGATGATGAAGTATCAAATGAATATTAACCAAAAAAGACCTGGAGATATGTCTTCAGACTGGACATTTGTTTATCTATCTATGTATTATTGACATATTAACTGCTGATTTTATATTGCTTTCATCTAGATTATTCCTGGCTAATGCTAATACAATTCTTTCTAGTTTATTGTCATGAAATTAAACATTATGTTTCATTTTGTTCTCCAAAGTGCACTTCCCTAGTACATTTGAAAACTTGGCTGTTATGCCCATACTTGGTTTTGCAAATATTCGGTACTTAAAAAAACATTTTAAATGAAAAACAGATGAAGAGGGAGTAGAGTTGAAGTTTCATTTGCCAATAGATAGCTTATATTATTATTATTTCTCTCTTTGCAAGAACTTTCGAGAAATGATTCCTGCCTTTGGAATTGTCAGACTGCTGCTCATCATCCTTATAAGTAAGTGTGTTTTGTGGACACTTTGTACCTTCAGTTTTATCAGTTCAATCAACAGATGACTTGGTTTATTGGAATATGGGCTTCCTTTCAGGTAGGAAGATCTATCTCAGTTTAGAAGCCGCAGCAACTCAAACAAAACTCCCCTGGAAGCAGAAAGAACCAGGCAGAGGTGCAGGAGGGAGGCAGGTTCATGGGAGATGAGTGGGATGCAGAAATTGGCATGCTAGTGGTTTCAGAGACTTCTGAGAGGAGGCTGCCCTTGCAGACTAGAATAAAGTAACTGTTTCCAGTTAAGTCTGCCCTGTTTTATACCGGAGTTTTCTTGGATTTTCACAGTCCCGTGTTATTTACCCTCGATCAGGAAGTACAAATGGTGATAAGCTGCATTTGCCCAGTACGTTGTGTAATAGTCATTTATAGTTAAATTAATATCGAGTACTGGCTGGACCTCATTTTCTATCCAGTGACTTCAACATCAATACAATATCGAAAGGGAAACCAGCCAGAACACATGGTCCTGATGCGATTTTCCCAAAGGCAAGGACTAGGCCTTTCAGTCTCCTAGGACACCATAGCTCACTAAGTAGAGCACAGGGAATGGGGGATGGCGTGGCATGCGATGATGTAGATGTTTCCCAGCACCACACACATTGGGTGGCGTTCTAGGCCTAGAAGCCCAGAAGTTCCTTAGCAGCACAGATCAGGCTGTAGAGGTGTCCAGGTTCTGGCTCTCTGGGTTCCACTGGAGAGTGTGGACTTATTTTCCTTCATGGCCCATCTTTAGTACTCCCCATGGTAATGACAGGCAAGTGATGAGGTGGATGACAGTAGAGCCTTGGTGTCTTGGTTTATGTATAAAATGCTACCTTCATTGCTCACGTGGCTGGACTGCAACCCAAGCCTTCTAGCTGGTCTGACTGCTCCTGTTCTTGGTTGCTTACTGTCTATTTGTTCTATAGCAGCCAGAATTTTAAAAACATTAGTCAGGGGACCAGCAGGTGGTGTGGTGTTTAGGGTGCTGGACTCCCATATGGGTGACCATGGTTCGAGTCCTGGATCTGGCTGCTTGCTTTTCCACTTTCCTTTTCTCTGTCTGGTTGAATTAAAAAAATAATAATAACAGGGGAACCAGCAGTTAGCGTAATGGCTATGTCGCTGGACTCCCACGTAGTCGACCGCGGTTCGTGTACTGGAACCGGT